GAGTTAAAGGTTAGCTGGTCATCAATCATGACACCCATAATATTGTGTCCACTCTGTAAGCACTTTGGGTACAACATAAACATATCTCGTAGCTTTTCTGACCTGATCTGGTTGTTCTCCCTCCTGAGCCTCTCCTCCTCCCTCTGGGCCCCCAGCAGCTCCTCCTCCAGGCGCCGGCTGTAATGGATGGCCTCCTGAAGCTGCCCGTCCCGGGAGGCCCGGATCAGCCTCAGCTCCCTCAGGAGGGGGCTAGGGTTAGGGTTAGGGTTAGGGTTAGGGTTAGGGTTGGGGTTAGGGTTAGGGTTAGGGTGGGGCGGGCTCCTCCGCTTTAGGGCCACCTCCAGGGCTAGGCAGCGGGCGTCGCTGCCCTGCAGGGCGCAGCGGAGGTCCTCCACCAGCTCCCTCAGAGCCCAGACCTCGTCTGGAGGAAACCGGGAAACAATAAGAGAAGAAAAAAACAAATCACTGCTTGTTTCAGGGATTTAAAAAAAAAAACGTAAAACTGATTTTTGGTTAATGAATCAGAACAGCTAACAGATAACAGCTAAGAACTAAGAGCTAAGAGCTAACACCATGGGGGGCAACCCTAACCCAAACCCAAACCCCTAACCCTAACCCTAAACCTAACCCTTAACCCTAACCCTAAAACTGAATTTTGGTTAATAAATCAGAACAGCTAACAACTAACACCATGGGGGGCAACCCTAACCCTAACCCTGACCCTGATCCTAGACCTAACCATGACCCCTAACCCCTAACCCTAACCCCTAACCCTAAACCTAACCCTAACCCTAACCCTAACCCCAACCCTAACCCTAACCCTAATCCTAAAACAGATTTTTGGTTAATGAATCAGAACAGCTAACAGGTAAGAGCTAATAGCTAACACCATGGGGGGGAACCCTAACCCTAACCCCTAACCCTAAGCCCAAACCCTAACCCTATCCCCCTAACCCCTAATCCCTAACCCGAACCCTAACCTTAACCCCTAACCCTAACTCCGGACCCTAACCCTAAGGGGGGGTTTGGGTTAGGGTTAAATTAAAAATAGCATCATGGCTCTAACAGATGTAATGTGGATTTAAAAAAAAACCTAAAACAGATTTTTGGTTAATAAATCAGAACAGCTAATAGCTAACACCATGGGGGACAACCCTAACCCCTAACCCTAAGCCCAAACCCTAACCCTATCCCCCTAACCATAACCCCTAACCCCTAACTCTAACCCCTAACCCAGGGCTAGGCAGCGGGCGTCGCTGCCCTGTAGGGCGCAGCGGAGCTCCTCCACCAGCTCCCTCAGAGCCCAGACCTCCTCTGGAGGAAACCAGGAAACAATAAGAGAAGTAAGAGAGAAATAAGAGAAGGAACAACCACTGCTTGTTTCAGGGATTTTAAAAAAAAACGTAAAACTGATTTTTGGTTAATGAATCAGAACAGCTAACAGATAACAGATAACAGATAACAGCTAAGAGCTAAGAGCTAAGAGCTAAGAGCTAAGAGCTAACACCATAGGGGGCAACCCTAACCCTAACCCAAACCCCTAACCCTAACCCTAAACCTAACCCTTAACCCTAACCCTAAAACAGATCTTTGGTTAATAAATCAGAACAGTTAAGAGCTAACAGCTAACACCATGGGGGGCAACCCTAACCCAAACCCCTAACCCGAACCCGAACCCTAACCATTAACCTTAACCCTAACCCTAAACCTAACCCCTAACCCTAACCCTAAAACTGATTTTTGGTTAATAAATCAGCACAGCAAACAGCTAACACCATGGGGGGCAACCCTAACCCTAACCTTAACCCCTAACCCTAACCCCTAACCCTAACCCCGGGTTAGTAAGGGTTGGGGTTTAGGTTTAGGTTTAGGGTTAGAGTTAGCGGTTAGGGTTAGGGTTAGGGTTAGGGTTAGGGTTATGGTTTAGGGTTAGGCTTTGGGTTAGGGTTAGGGTTAAGGTTAGGCTTTAGGGTTAGGGTTATAGTTTAGGGTTAGGGTTAGGTTTAGGGTTTAGGATTGAATTCAAAATAGCATCATGGCTCTAACAGATGTAATGTGGATTTTTTTTAAAACGTAAAACAGATTTTTGGTTAATGAATTAGCACAGCTAACAGCTAAGAGCTAATACCTAAGAGCTAACAGCCCGCATAAATGATGGCACATGTTGGTCTAATATTTGTTGATACACGAGTTAGCTCCTGTTTACCCTAACCCCATAATCTGTTTGAGCAAAACCAGAAAATATATCTGTAACTGTACATAAACTAACAGCTAGTCTAAGTCAGGTCATAGCAAAACATATCGTTAGAATCAATTTAATCTTAACGAATTCTTTAAATCTTTTTTTCATTCAAAAGCCAAGAATGGTCAAGAATGACCTTTCCAAGAAGAGAGCATTTAACTCGTTTCAAACAATGACAGCAGCGAAAGAAAGGAAAGAACGGATAACCAGGTTTGCTATACTATAAATAAGGTTGGTTAGATTATTTCTCTGGAGGTAATACAATCACTATAACCTAATAAACCTCTCAAAACGAACTAAAGATAACTTTTCCAGTTAAAGTTGTGCATGCATTCTGGCATGTGTAGACTACATGGAATTTACATCAAGTACAGATAGATAGATAGATAGATAGATAGATAGATAGATAGATAGATAGATAGATAGATATTTACAGATGTGTTGTTTATCTGAGGTTACACTTCCTAATAAAGAAGAAATTCCTGGTACATTTAACGACATTTCAGATGTTTAAATAGACAGTTTAAACATGTTGATGTTGTTAAATCCTTACAGGAAAGTTTAAAAGTTGGGAAAAGTCTATCGAAAAATTGTATCCCTATAGTGTACATCAAAAGAAAGAATAACAAGAATTAAATAAATCGGCTAAATCTGGTTTAAATGGTTCATTCATTCCTTGAGCAAGAATACAGCTCTATTCACCAGGACTTGATTTATTTATTTATTTATTCACTTTTTTAATCTATAATCTAGTAAACCTCTCAAAATTAACTAAAGATAACTTTTCCAGTTAAAGTTAGGGTAGATAGATGGATAGATAGATAGATAGATAGATAGATAGATAGATAGATAGATA